AAATAGCCAGCACGGCACCTCTTCAACACGAGTGTGCCGCACTACAATACCATGTACACTTTGTGGCGAGTGTGTTAGCAGGGTGCTTACGCACGCGCATGGCCCAGTAGCCACCTGGGTTCAAACCCCAGCAACAGCAGTTGCATCCCGAATTTTGATAACATAAATCCGGGAGCGGGGCAGGGCGGGGCGGCGCGGGGCAGCGTGGGTGTGTGGCGCGAGCGCGCGTGCGGCGGCCTTGGCCGTGGCGTCTCTCTTTTTCGCCACGTGTCGCGTCCTGCAAGCGCCACTTTTTCCCTGCGTTTTCGCTGAAAAACGGCCGAAAAAACCGAAAAAAACCGTTGTCGGGTTTTGCTGTATTTCCAGCTGTGCGGAATGCTGGACAGCTGTACGGGGTGGTGGGTGGGAGCGGGGACCGTTCCCGCTCCGATACCAATGTAGCGGACCCACCAGGTGTGGTGCTCCACTAGTGGTAGAGATGGAGATGGAGGAAGAAGGGGGGAGCGAGATGGCACAACGCAGCTCCCCACGCAAAACTCCAGCGCACGTACTTCAAAATGTGCAAGTGAAGAATGAGCTCAAAAACAAACAAAGGCTAGGGTATACCCCAGCGGACTGACGGGACTGGATTGGACTGGCTAGCACCGACAGAGGTACCGGCCTGGACTGGACTGCCCCGAATAAAACACAGGCCTGTGAGAACAGGCCAAAAGGCTGGTCTCACAGGCCCTCCGGAGGTCCGCTACAATTACCCCTTGTTCTCCGCGGATTGCAGGATTATCGAACAGGGGCATTGAGATTACAGTTTCTACTAATGTACAGTCCTTGATCGCAGACGGGTGCATTCTGGACCATGCTTTGAGTATCGGGCCCCAAGTAGGAGATTTGGTACTCTTGGTGAGTGAGGGGAAGAATAGACAATCCCACAGTGCTGAGTTGTCGGTTAAAGACCGTTCGTTAGTAAGGATCATGATAGCTAGGTGGATCCCTGGAGTGTCTTTTGGATGTGTCAATAATCTGGTAACCCATTTTGTTAGTAATGCTCTATTCTGGGCCTCAGGGTCGATAACCCCGAG